TTCATTTGCGAATAGATGTGAACTTGACTGTACGTGTATCGTCCTTTTGGAATCCAATGACCTGGTTAGGTTGAGGTGCATTATTAGATTGTTCTGCAGACTACCCTGAGTCAACTCAAACCAGTATTATATATAGATTATTAAAAAATTTCCGTTCAAATAATGGATTTACTACAAAAAAAATGAAGTATGTTAGTTTTATATTATGATCAAAGGCAAAAGAGGGTGTGCTTTTTGGATACAAATGTATTCACTCAAAACGAGTTTTTTTATTTTTTTTTATTATTTTTTTTAATTAAAATTAATTTTAAAAAAATAGTATGATTAATTGTTAATAAAATTTTGAGTTTATATTAAAATAATATTTAAAATAAAATAATTAAAGTTTGATTTAAAAGTCAAGAGGAAAATGGTAAGAAGTGATGATTAGTTAAAATTATGTAATTGGATAAATATTAATTAAAGTTGATGTGATGTGATGATTAAAACCATATGATTGGATAAATAATAAATTAAAGTTGATTTGATGTGTGAGAATTAAGAAAGATTACACTTCTCTCACCACATATATTTTTAACTGTGACAATAATGCAACAGTAATTCTTTTGGTACATTTGTATACACTTATGATATTTTTACACATATTTTCAATTTCAATATTGTGTTATTGTCTTACCAAATATATATATATATATATATATATATATATTGACTGGAAAAGAACTTATCATTAAAAGATCAATATACAAAGTCGTAAGAAATAAGTTTTTTAAGCCAAAGAGGAAAAACATCTGCATTCCATAATAACGGGGAGTTTGAAAAAGAAGCAAATTTAGCAATACCATGAGCGACATTGTTGGTAGAGCGACACATATGTTGTAGTCGACTAGACACTGCCGCTTTAGACATTAGATCATCAATCTCTTTTCCCAAGAAAGAATATATCCATGAGTCTCTTTGTAGTCGTAAAATGCTTAACTTTTGGTAAAAAGTGTGCTAAGACATTGATGCGGATGAGGGGCGTCAGCTGAAGAACGCGTATAATTGGGCCCGACGAGCAAGAATGAAGCTGCAGAAGAATGGCAGCTGTCAGGAGGATAGCGCTGCTAAGGAGCCTTAGCGGCGCTAAGGCCGGGAAAATAACGGCGCTATCAAAATCCATCGGGCAACAGAGGAATTACGTTCAACACGGTTAGCTGTGCTAACCGTCCTTAGCGCCGCTAAGGTCCCGGCGGGAGCAGTTATTTTTATAGTTTTTCTCTGCATTTTTAGAGGTGGTAATGTATTTATTTGGTGGACTGAACAATGTACGTTTTTATCTATAAGTATTTTATGAACTTTCACAACCAAAGCTTGTTTACAAGCATCAATTCGTGTCAAAATCGAGTTTGTTAACCCGAGTTTTGATACACATTATTATTCGATACACGATTCGTAACATTGGTGCTTTCATTGAGAGTTACTACTCGTGCATCATGGCGACTAATCGAGAGAGGATGGACATATGGAAAAGAGCATGCGTGCAATGAGCGAAGAAATCCAATCCACGAATCAAACGATGACAAGACTCGAGAGGATAATGCTCCAAACCATTGGACGACGAGCTAGGAGGGGTAACCATTCGGAATCATCTTCCGAAGGGTCAGCCGAATCTGATGAGGGTCACGAAAACCGGAACGAATATCCGGAGGATGAAGATGTTCGTTCGAGAGGATCACATCACCGTGGAAGACAATGAATCGAAAAGCCTAAGTTGACGCTTCAGACATTTAATGGTACGGATCCTGATCATGGTTAAATCGTGCTTGCCAATACTTTGAAATTAATGAGATACCCAAGTCGGAAAGAGTGAAATATGCCGCTTATTATCTCGATGGAGAAGCGAATGTATGGTGGCAATGGCTATCGAGGGTTTACAAGAAGGAGGACAAACGAATTCGTTGGAAGAACTTCAAAAAGGAATTGATTATTCGATTTGGAGTGTCGGATTATCATAACTATGATGAAGCCCTTTCACATATCAAGCGAACGGGAAGCTTACAAGAATACCAAAAGGAATTCGAAAGAATTTCAAGTCGAGTTCGTGATTGGCCGGAGGGAGCACTTGCTGGTGGTGTTATATACTTAAGCTTTGCTTTAGTGGATATTACATTTGTTATTTCTTGAT